CTGCTGAACTGGTGGACTGGAAGGTTGGTGGTTTGAATCTGTGGGGAAGGGGTTGCAAGACAAGGGACCCCGAGCAGGGATTTCCCAGGCAGCAGGGATGGGTTTCAACGCAAGCGCACCCGCTCCCTCAGTAATCAGTCCCGCCTTCCTTCCACTTCCGGCTCCAAAGTGTCTCGCACAATAAGGATAAACACTTTCACTCTCAGGCCTGGGCCAACTTGGGCCCTCCTTCCTGCCCTCCAGGTGTTTGGAACTTCAACTCCCACAATTCCTACTAGCCAGCTGTTAGGAATGGTGGGAATTGAAGTCCAAAACATCTGGAGGGAGGGAGGGAGGGCCCAAGTTGGCCCATGCCTGAACTATATGGTTGAATGAAAGGGTTAGGCAACCAATGGAGCTCAATCTCCTCTGCTGCAGGAGCACTTCCAGTCTGTTCTCTCTATACAGCCATCACCCACGTCCACATATGCGCCCACCCACCTGCACACATGAACTAACACTCAAAGCAGGGGACACAGCAGGACAGGGTTTGGAGGCCCAGGTCAGACCCCTCCTCTGGACCCTCCCCTCTCCCCTCCAAGTGCACTGACCGCCATCCACCCCTCCCTCCCTTCCTCCCTCCTTCAGGTCCCAGTCCTTACTTTCCGTCCAGGAAGTCCATGAGGGGCCGGAGGACGTTGTCGGCGTCTTGGGCCACCACGTTTGGGGGGGCATTCCCGGCCCCCTTCACCTGGCAGAGGATGTCGGACATCTGCTTGACGCAGTCGTCGATCCGTGCCTGGAAGCTGGAGGCAAGCAGAGGCTGTTAGGAATTGTGGGAGTTGAAGTCCAAAACACCTGGAGGAAGGCCCAAGTTTGCCCATGCCTGATTTAGCTCCCATTCTCCCGGTCACCCACTCCTGCCCAGAGAATGAGGGGTGGCCCCCTTTCTTCCCCCCCCCCCCCCCACTTTGGAAGGACCTGACCATTCCGTCTGCCTTAAGAAAGCTCAGAATATTCTGAAGGGTCCATCCCACCCTTCTTTTGAATTATTATCACCTGGCAGGTGGGATGGGATGGCAACGGGGAGGAGACATAGGCCGAGAGAGAGCTTGGGTCAAGAGTCGTGACTACTGCTACGCTCCACCTTGAACCCTGAGATCATCTGAGGAGACCCTGCTCGTTGTCCCCCCCCATTGTCGCAATTGTGTCTGACGGGGACAAGGGATGGGGCCTTTTCTGTGGTGGCCCCTCCCGAGAAAAATTAGATCTGCTGCATCCCTCTTGACCTCCCGGAAACAAGTGAAATCCTGGCTATGGGATCAGGGGTCGGCTGACCTACTGACGTGTTGACTTACGTAGAACTGATGGACTGCCCTTGGATAATGATTTAAATCGGTGACCGCTGACTGTTTGTTGACTATTTTTATATTGTTTATACTGTTTTCTATTGTTATTATTATTACATTGCTGTTAAATTGTACATTTATGTCTTGGTGTGGGCGCCGTGGGTGCCGTTTTTTTAGCCGTCCCGAGTCCCTCTGCGGAGGTCGAGATAGGACGGGATAGAAAAGCCCAAAATAAACAATAATAAATGTTTAAGTGTATGGTTTCACTTGGATGTGGCACGAGGAGTTGTGCATTAGTGATGATAACATAGAAGGAAGGGTGCTTTGTTTCGTAACTGTACAACAGGTGCGGGCAAACTTCACCCCTCCCTCCGGGGGTTTGGATGACAACTCCCACAATTCCTAACCACTGTTGGAAACCCAACCCTCCCCTTGCCTGGCGCACACTGCACAATTATAGTGCTGTGGTTGCACTCTCACAGCCAGGGCAACGCCTGAGGAATCCCGGGACTTCAGGGAGAGATTCAGAGCTCTGGCGCCTCCTTGAACTACGGATCCTAGGAGGCTGTCAGGATTATTAAGATACGTATGTGTGTTTTTCAATGTGTTTCTATGTAATTCAAGATGGATTAAGATGTATTTCAAGATGGATTCTATTCTGCTTAATTGTGTATTAGAAATACTGTGAGAGGCAGAGAAAAAGTAACCTTGACAGAAATGAGATAAAGTGTTCCCTGGCTGGGAAGAAGTGGGAGGATCCGGTCTCAGCCAAGAAGTCAGATAAGCAGATGTTCAGAAACTGTGGTGTTGTGCTTTGTAGTTCCTGCCTGATGCTTGCTGTGCATAGACGTGTATAGATGTACTTAGTAAACTTAGTGTTCTGTTGTAACTAAACACTTGCAGAGTCCTGATTTCTGGAACACAGTGTCGGCTGATCTAGCAATCCTTCCGCTGGCAAATGTCAATACTCTGACAGAGGCCACAGGGAGCAGCCACGGAGGGTCAAGTGGAGCCACTGCACCACAACTATGCAGCGTGAAAGGGCGAAGCACAAGCCTTCATTGCCGCCTATTAGGAATTGTGCAAGTCCAAAACACCTGGAGGGAGGGCCCACGTTTGCCCTTGCCTGGTGTCTATGAATGCGTCTATGTGTGTGTGCATGCACCCCTTGCAATGGAGGGTGTTTTCCTGGGTCCCCACAACTGGAGTTACTCAGCGGAAGTCCTCCCTCCCCTGCAAAGAATGAGAGGGCTTTGGCTCGGACGCTGTGCGGACGGACAGAGGGAGGGACGGGGCTCAAAGAGGAGGAGGTGATGCCCCCCCCCCTTTCCCGGCACGAACGAAGCCTCCGCTGCTTCTGCCGCCGCCTTTGCTAAATCCCTGGCTAAATCCTCTTCCGCTGCGCGACCCTTTGAATGTTAAGAGAGGCATTAGCCCTGAGATCAATGAGCCGGTGAGCTCTATCCCGGAGTGATAGCATCCCAGGGATATGAACTCCAAACAGATTTCACAGCTCAGAGAGCATTCCACTTTGCAACGCCAGAGACGGGCACAAATAAAGAGAAATAAACCCTTCTCTCCTCCCTCCCTCCTTTCACTGACTTTTGAGCACATCAGGATTTGCAAACTTGGAAGGCCAAAAGTAGACGCTGACTTTATGGACCTGACAACCTCTGAGGATGCTTGCCATAGATGCAGGCGAAACGTCAGGAGAGAATGCTTCTAGAGCATGGCCATATCGCCCGAAAAACCTACAACCACCCAGTGATTCCAGTCATGAAAGCCTTTGACAATACATTGATGTCTGGAGCAAAGGGATGCCGGGGAAGGCGGGCCCACCTGTTGCCAAAGACGGCGCTGAGCTCGTCCAGGACGTTGTTGAGCTTCACCTGGAGCTCCTTCAGGGAGTCGCTGGCCTCCGGATCCAGCTGCAAAGGGAAGCAGGCCGTGAGAACGTGGACTTGGAGGAGGAAAGCAGGAAGAGCGGGCAGGAGGGCTTCGCTGGGCAGGGGGAGGCAGCTGCTCAAAGCACCCGGCGCAGCGTCTGGATCCAAGGCCAGCAAGAGTGGGCAAAGCACTGTCCACGTGTCCAGGGCAGGAAATGGGTTGGAGGGGAACCTGCAAAGGGGCTTCAGAGCAACACATCGCCCAGCTCTCTCTCTGTCCTGCATCTGCAGAGCCAAAACACCTGGAGACCTGCCACCCCATGCTCCTGCTTTGCTCAGTCGTTCATTCTGCTGTGTGTTGAGCGCAAACACTGCTGACAAGCACACTTTCCGTGGCAAAACCCAGGTTCTAGGCCTGTCCGTGACTGGGAACCACCGGTCAAGCGGACCCACTTGCCCCCAGGGGAGGGATGGCCCTCCTCCACTGGAAGGAAAGCGGGGGGGGGGGGGGGGGGGGGGGGGGGGGGGGGGGGCTTGGGAGCATTTCCTTGAAGGGTCAGGAAGGCCGTCCGTATGGAAAACCTGCCCCTGCCAAGGGAGAAGCCCTCACTCTCTGGCTGTGTGCCTTTGCTCCTGCTGCACACAGTGCACTTCTGGGAAAGCGTCGGCATTAAATGCAAGTGTAAAGGGGAGACCCCGTGCGAGGGTGCATGCGCAAGCGCCTTTGGCATGCCCGGGCCTAGAGTGCCTTAAGCGATGGAACTAGGAAAGCAGTCAGAAAACCTGGCGGGAGGGAGCACTCGGTCTGTCCCTTGGGCATCCCTTCGGTTCTCGCCAGGTACCCGGGACACCCCTCTCCTCTCCCTTCTGCAACCAGGAGGAGCCCCGCCTTGGGCTTGCTCTGCGGGGGTTTTGGACCCCCACCACAAGTCCTCCTCACCGCCTCAGGCCCCTTCCTGTTCCCCCTCAGGCGCTGAAGTGGAAAAGGGAAGGGAAAAGGGAAAGGAAGGGGCCTGGGAGATGGAGCCCAAAACACCCGGAGGGGCCACGCTTGCCCACGCCCGCTACACGATGACAAAAACAAGGACAAATGGGTTGCGAGATCGCTTTCATCCCAGAACTGCAACTACACTGATTTCCAGACTGATGTGGCAGGAGGGGTTGTAAAACAGTGATTAGAACGTGGAAAGGTGGGTGTTTCTGTTCTGTAATTGTACGTATATATTACGCATTTAATTCCGTGGTACGATGACAATAAAGTTATTCTATTCTAAGAGAGAAAGAGTTGCAGGGAAGGAGGGAGTGACTCACGAGGAAATCTCAAGGCGCAAAGGCTTCTCTAGGGAGAGGGAGATGGGGGGCAAGGAGGGTGGAACTCATTGCGCAGAGAGCATCTCTATGGGCACCTTATGCCCACTACTCCCCAAAGCAGGAGCGCACTACTTCCGTCCTGGTGAGGAAGGGCACGAGGAGACGCAGGACACAGACAGGGATGGGAAGGGCCTCCTCCGCCATTGGGAAAGCGCCGGTGGGGAAGCCAGGGCAGCCCCTCCTTGGGCAAGGACATGCGCAAGAGAGGCATGCGCTCCGGCCGCGCAAGGAAACCAGCACATGCCTCAGCCGCCCGAGAGAGCCATGCGTGTGCCTGCTTAACACTTCCCCACTCCGCACGGCTTCGTGCCTTTTAAAGAAGGGCGTTTTGTAGATATGTTGTGTATGTGACACGGCCATGGATTTCCCACCGGATGCCGAGAAGGAAGGCCCACGTGGGGACTAATAGGTCTAAGGAGGGGCCCAAAAGGAGAACAAAAAGTGGGGCTAACAGCCGTGGGGCCCCTCTCCTCCGGATCCTTCTCCTTCTCCTCTTTCTCCTCCTTCTCCTCCTTCTCCTCTTTCTCCTTCTCTTCTCCATTCTGAGTCTTGACACGTAAACGCAAGGGAGGCGCAGAGACAGAGAGACAAGACAGACAGACAGACAAGGTTAGACCAAAGGCAGGGAGGGCCCTTCTCCACTGTGGGGGCCTCCGGGGACATCGGAGGTGCGCAGGGGGATCGTTGGCCCCTTTGAGACGAGAACGAGGGTTGAAGCAGAAGCCTTTGTGGAGTGAGGCCTCCTCCTCCTTCCTGAGAGGCCCAAGGGAGCAAGTCCCCGAGGACAGGCTCCGAAATTAATTAATTAATCATCAGTAATTGTGACTGATGAGCTGGTTTTGCACCTGGAGAGAACCCGAACGGCAAGGCCCGCTTCAGCAGAGCCATAAGTGCCTGTCACTCCGTGCAGACGTCTGAGGAAGGAGGAGCGTGTCTACAAAGGCCGATGCTCCTGACTTCTTTCTCTTGGAGCATCTCAAGGGGGTTGTGTGGGTTCCAGGCTGTACGGTCGTGTCCTAGCAGCATTTTCTCCTGACGTTTCTCCGGCACCTGCACGGCCGTACAGTCCAGAAGCCACACAACATCCCAGTCATTCTAGTCATGGAACCTTCAACAATATTGTTGTAGCACAGCAAGCGTCCAATAATTTGTCAGAGGATGAGGGGGATGATGGGTTTCAAAATGAGTTTCAAATGTCAGATTGGAGAGAACTGCAGGTGGACGGGGACAAGGCAGAGGATGTTTTGAATTCCAAGAAACAGGGGAAAGTGAAAGTCCTTGGGCTGATGGGGAGTTGTCTCGAGAGACTAGATTAGGCCTGAGAACAGAGGGAGTAAGACACAGACACGTTAAATATTCTCTCAGAAGTTGTGGTGAGACCTTGAAACCAGGTGTGTTCGGCATGATGTCATGGGTGCGTGGACAGGCTTAAATTAAGTAGCTTGGCCTCAAGCCGCTCAGAAGAGATGTTGCCTTAAGGGTGGTTTTTCTGTCTATGCTCTCAAGTTCATGATTCAGGTTTCCTGATCTGATTCATGCCTTTGCTCCTGTCAGGTTTTGCCTTGGAAGAAGCTCCTGTTTCCTGGTTTATGGACTTATGTTTGGATCACTGCTCTGGGTTCTAGTTCTCTGTACTTAATGTACTTTGCCATTTTTGGAATGCTGCCATTTTGTATTTCCTGCTTTTGGGGTTACTGCTGTTTTGTATTTTCTATTCTGCTGACCTTTTTGGAATTGCACTTTCCCCCTTTGTCCTTGCCTCCCTCAATAAACATTTCCAGATAGTATTATTGGATTCTGGCGTGGTGCTGGATAAAAGGTGTTTCATGTTCGAGTGTAACAGATACATTGTCATGTTTTTGTTTGTTCACTTGGAAGTCCCACTTGGGCCTTGCTGTGTCCAGCCAAGGGACCCCCCCCCCGCTCTTTGCGCTTACCTCCTTGGCGCCCATGGCCTCAAACATCTTCTCCAGCTGGACCCTCAGCTGCTGGATGTTGTTCATCAGGATGCAGGGCTGGTCGGGGACAGAGAGGAGAGCAAGGCCGGTCAACAACAAGGAAGTTCTCGTCCTCTTTGGGGTCAGGCATTGGGATGGCAGAGAGGCTGGTAATTGGGGGGCGGAGAGTGGAAACCCCAACCCAGGAAAGGATTTGGCAACACCAGGCTGCATCCATCCATCCATCCCTCCATCCATCCATCCCCAGCACCTCCCCAAGAAGCCCAAGGGATCAAACTGGTCCAGGCCAAGAAAGAAGGAAAGGGAAGGGACCATGATGGGCATCTTCCATGGGCAACCCAGGAAGTGGAGGAGAGGAAAGCAGGTTAAGTGAATGAATGCGTGAGTGGGTGGGACCTCTCAAGACCCATGCGGCATAATCTTGGAGCAAAGAAGCACCAAGTGTATAGAGCAAATGCACGCAGCGTGGTGCGTCATTGTGGAATGCAAGAGGTGTGGATTAGTGCTGATAACAGCAATTCGTGTGTTCACCATGTTACGATCCGACGGTGTAGAAGCAAGTTTACAATGTGCTTGGTGTTAAGTAGCTTCCAATGTATATAACTGTAAAATAAAGTACTTTATAGCTTAAGGTGGTTGTGATTAGTCGTGTTCCTGCCTTGCTGTGCAGCCAATGTCACTGACAAGTCCAACCCCATTCGGCCAAGATCAGGAAAATTGCATTCAAAGCACCCCTGACAGATGGCCATCCAGCCTCTGCTTAAAAGCTTCCAAAGAAGGAGCCTCCACCACACTCCAGGGCAGGGAGTTCCACTGCTGAACAGCTCTCAGTTAGAGCAGAAGTATAGTCAGTATGCTGCAGTGAGATGTTCAGTTAATATATGAATTTGTTTGCAGGAGATGCAAAGTACAGTGTAGTACAGCCCATTGAAGTATAGTATAGTACAGTTTAAGTAGTAGTCAGTTAACATGAAACAATAGGGAATGTAGGCTGGATGGCCATCTGTCAGGGGTGATTTGAATGCAATATTCCTGCTTCTTGGCAGAATGGGGTTGGACTGGATGATGGCCCAGGAGGTCTCTTCCAACTCTTTGATTTTATGATTCTACCAGTATGCCAAATACATGAAGTTTTTAAGTAAATCAAATAGGTTAACTTTTATCAAAGACTACTTATTTTTGGTCTCTTGAGAGTATGATTTGAAAGCAATATATTTTATGGGAAAGTGGGCGATATGTTTTTTGGGCAACGGAAATAACACTTCTGAAGATCTGCTCTATATTTTGTGCATTGGCTTTGCTTTGTTCCTAGCAGTTCAGAGAGATAACCAGGTATATCAGTCTAACAACCGAGAAGCCTAATTTGCCTTGCATGAATAATACTAGTGGATATTTACCACTAAGGAGAAGATTCACTCAAAGGTCATACTTTACACAAGGTTACGATCTCTGACTAGGTCATGCCTTTCCAAAAGGCTACGTTTATTCTGAGAGTACCAATTACTCTCCGAAAGGGTCACGCTTCGAAAGGGCTTTGGAGATTCCTGGTTTTCCACTAGGCGCCAAATACTGCCACGCGTGACCCCTCTGGACTCTCCTGCACATGGAAGACACAGAGGGAGAGGCTCACCACTTTCTCCTTGGCGCAGAAGGCCTGGAAGCCCCGGCTGACGATCTCCGCGTACTGCATGAGCACCTTCCCGATGGTCTGCAAGGAGGGCAAAGGTCAGGAGGGCAAGCAAGCACACAGCCCCCCCCCCCAAGAGTCACGTATGTTGCTGATTAAGGTCTCACTGGGGGCCTCCCTTGCTCACCTTGGCGAAGCGGCGCATGTAATGGGCCACGATGGCCGGGTCGGGGCACTCCAGCTTCTTGATGATCTCAAAGCTCTGGTTGAGCTGCGTGAAGACGTCCACCACCGAGCAGGAGAAGAGCGCGTGCTCCGACGTCTGCTGGAACTGCGGGGAGGGGGAGCGGAGGAGGAGCGGGTCAGGACCCCCAACGCCATGGGGCACCCCCCACCGCCCCCAAGGTGCCAGGTGCAAAGGGGAGGGGGCTGCTTTCTCCCTGCCTCCCTCCCTCCCTCCTTCTGTTCCACCATTGTGGCGTTGATACACGTTGGGCGCATCTCGCCTTGTGCGACGAGATTGCACACGCCACAGCATGCCGCTACACTCACTTGGATGCTTCGCTTATTAGCAATCCGTTACCCTGTGTTAATATATGCATGAGATGATAATGGGAGTTAGAGTGCATGTCAAGAGCTGCTAATTAGGAGTTAATTGCCAGCAGAGGAGGGCGCAGCGCAGTCTCCCAGGGGGGGCCCTTTTGGGATTCCGTGTTGCGACTGGTTTATGAGGAAAGGGAGCCCTGAGAAAGCTGGCGAGGGGGGAAAGTGGCCCTGTGGGGATGGCTTGACCAGAAGAAAAGGCCACCAATGGGAAAATGTTGTGGGAAGGGTCTGAAATGTGGGTTGTTGTGAGTTTTCTGGTCCGTACGGTTGTGTCCCAGAAGCATTCTCTCCTGATGTTTCGCCTGCATTTATGGCAGGCATCCTCAGAGGTGGTGAGGTTTGTCGGAAACTAGGAACGTGGGATTTATATACCTGGTTGGGAGGAAGAACCCTTGTCTGTTTAAGGAAAGTGTGAATGCTGCAATTGGTCACCTTGATTAGCACTGAATAACCTTGCAGCTTCAAGGCTTGGCTGCTTCCTGCGTGGGGGAATCCTTTGTTGGGAGGTGACTAGCTGTCCCTGATTGTTTCTTGTCTGGAATTCCCCTGTTTTTGAGTGTTGTGCTTTATTGTTATGATTTTAGAGGGTTTTTTTTTAGCACTGGGAGCCAGATTGTGTTCATTTCCATGGTTTCCTCCTTTCTGTTGAAATGATCCACCTGCTTCTCGTGGATTTCAATGGCTTCACTGTGTAGCCTGGCCTGGTGGTTGTGAGAACGGTCCAGCATTTCTGTGTTCTCCAATAATACGCTGTGTCCAGGCTGTGTCTTAGTTTCCAAGAGACCTCACAACCTCTGAGGATGCTTACCACAGATGCAGGCAAAACATCAGGAGAGAATGCTTTTGGAGCATGGCCATACAGACCATAAACACACAACAACCCAGTGATTCCAGCCATGAAAGCCTTCGACAACATGTCTGAAACGTGCAAACTCTCAACCAGGCATGTTAGGAATTGTGGGAGTTGGAGTTGCAGCAAGAAACACAGGAGCTTCCGGGTCATTGCGCTGCAGCAACAGAGTGAAGAGTGGATCAAAGCTCTTGACGTGCACTCCCACTCCCATGATCTTCGCATGCATATGGCAGGTTTGATCTGGACGACAGAGATTGTCTAAACAACCCAATCACTCTTTTCCTTTTGGACAGTGTGGCAGATCTCCAAGGAATGCAACGCCCACCACTCGCTCACCGCCTTGGCCCCAACAAGCCTGAGCAACTTAAGCAGGAGGGATGGTGAGTATGAAGGGTGAATGGATGTGGAGTGAATGCTGAGCCTATGGGACGTTTCCCCTTTGTCTGTGTAGCCAAGGCAGGTATTGTGAAACCAGTCCTGGGCCTGTGGGCCTGCTTCTCTCTCTAAGAGTGCCGGGTGTATTTTGTCCCACTGAAAACGGACTAACGCACGTTCTTAAGGCTAAGGAAGGCGTCTGGAGAAGGCGCTCCCGTCTCCCCAGAAGGCAAGAGCACTTCCGCCGCCAGAGACAATGCCACTCCCACCCCAAACCCGGGACCGTGCCCCCCCCCCGGATACGCACCCCGTCCTTCTTGTCCCTCTCCAGGGCGCCGTGCATGAACTCCATGGAGACCTCCTCGTTCTCCTCCAGCCACTGCATCACAAACTGCTCAAACCACCTGCAAGGAGACAAGGGCAACCAAGTGAGGAAGGCGCACCCGCAGAGCTATGTTAATCCCACAAACTAACATTTTTATTCTTATTTATATAGATATGAGGGGTGGGGAGAGTCACAAGAGCAGGTATAGAACAGGAGCATTTCCAACATCTGACACCTTCGTCTTCCATTGCGATCTAATTTTCTATGATGTTAAAAAAGAAAAGGGGGGGAAGCATTTCTTTTCTAATCTAAAATAGAAAGCGAGAGAAGTGGGTGGACAGTGTTTTGAAACAAAGGAGATAGGAAACTTGAGAAATGGACAACAGGAAGCCCCAATTAACACTTCCTACCTTGTCTCTGCTGACTTCTCCCTAATTAAAAAAAATCTATTCTTTTTGTCCTCAGTCATCTAATCCCGGGTAGATTAACTGTCCAGGATCCTTTGGACATCATTGGGGATCCTGTTATTCTTGTCAGTAGTAACATCTCTGGTTTCTTTTCTTTTCTTGTTATTCCTACGTCCCTGGGCTACTAATTTTCCCTTGGTGTCAGAGAACATCCAATGTTTTCTTTTCTTCTTTTCTCAAGAAAAGGCTGCCATTCTACTTCAAATGTGGCAAGGTCTGGAGATTGTATAAACCTAGTGATTTGTCTACCTCTCATTATTATAGGATTCAATTTCTTTTTGTAATTTGGGACGGTGCAATTGTGTAAACCTGACCCGTTTGTCAATTTCTAACAGATCCATCATTTCTATAATCCATAAATCTTGAGTTGAAATTTCCTTCTGTTTCCAGTAATCACAAATATGAAAAGCTCTTATCCTCTTGTTTGACATGTTTAGTCCATTTATATTTAAAGAGAGCATCTTTAGTACCATTGTTCCTCAAATAACAGATGTTCTCTTTCTCCTTTCTCCTCTGTCCTTTTAAACATATCACCTGTCCTTCTGGGTGTTCCATCTGAATCTGTAGCCTTGCTTCTTAAGTTTATCTGTCAGGAAGAAGTAATGTATTTATTTATTTCATGTATAACGCACCTTTCTCACCCTGCAGGGGACTCAGGGCGGCCTACAAACTCTGGTAAAATAATATCTTCTTTTCTTTATTGTCTGAGGTGGGAGTTCTCTTCATACTGCAATTCTGGTATTTCCTATTTCAGTCAGATCTTTGGTGTGGGCTTGTAAAACTTGGTTTCGTACTTTCTTTCTTGCAAACAACACAATCACATCCCTTGAAAGTTTATTCCTTATTGCATGTTGGGATTGGACACTAAAGGTCCCGTCGATATGAGTCCCGACCACCTGCTCTGCTCTTCCAAGGATTCCAGGCACAACTCCAGTTATTGCCATATGAGGTTCCTGTGCAGATTCCGGTATTCCTCTCAACCTCAAATAGTTTTCTGTTTGCAAATACTCCAACCATCGGAGTTGAGCTGAGTCCCTTTGGAAATCCATTTGCATCTTCTTTTGTTCCTCTTCAATTATCTTTACTTTCTGTTTTTTGTTGTTCATGCGGCTTCAAAGTGCCACTCATTACATCTGCCGTCTGATGCATATCTTTCTTCATTTCTTGTTGTCCTTTCTGTGAATAATCTTCAGCCTGTTTAATTTTCTTGTCAATCTTGGCCTCCAAATTTTTCATTCCAACTGGAATGGTTATTAATTGGGTCAAGATTTCCTTCACTGGATGATCTTCTTCTGGGAGAGATCCTCTCTTGGAAGCTTCTTTCTGTTCTTTGAATATTGGTCTTGTTGACACTGCAGTCCTTTCTGCAATCATTATGGTTTTATCTCTATGGTTCATCTCTATGGTCACTTCCAGTCTCATTTGCTCTTTGGATTCAGTCCAGAGGCTCCATGCGCTCCAGGATGTTATGGCTATCGAGTTATGGGGATTGTGGCACAGCAGGCTGAGTGTCAGCTGCATTAAGATCACTCTGACCAAAAGGTCATGAGTTCGAAGGCAGCCCGGGTTGGAGTGGGTTTCCAACCAATTGTGTGTAGCCTGTCATCATCATCATCATCATCATCATCACTTTATTTCTTAATTAGTCGCTCTCCACCAAGGTGCTCCGAGCGACTTACAATTTAAAACAGTCGACCTTTGCAACCCGAAAGACAGTTGCATCTGTCAAGTAGGAAAATAAGGTACCACCTTAAAAAAGTGTGGGGAGGCTAAATTAACTGATTTATGAGGCCATAAAGAAGACTCCTGCAAAGCATTCCAGCGGGGAAGCATGCGGGGAATGCGGAAGTGCTTCATCAGCGTCGCAGATGGACGAGGAAAGCGACAGCTCCCCTGGCGGCCAGAAAAAGTTAAATATAGCTTCTGTGTGTGTCTGTATATGTTTGTATGTCAAAACTTGGCATGGAATGTTTGCCATATATGTGTACACTGTAATCCGTCCTGAGTCCCCTGCTATGGGGTGAGGAGAAGGGCGGAATAGAAAGCTGTAAATAATAATAATAATAATAATTCCCACAGTTCCAATAACATAATCTTTAACAAATTAGTTCACTTCACCCTTTGTAATTGTTCTCAGCAGATCGTTTCATCAGGCAGAATTAGAAAATTCTTGAAAAATAGTTCTCATAATAATACTTTAAAGTTATTTTTATCTTTACAATTTCCAACGGAGGAAAAAAAAGCAGTTTACCCCTTAGAGATTTTTTTGCCCAAGAAGTTGGTAAACTTAAAGGAGATTTCAGGGCATCTTTGAATTGGTTTTTGATCCTTGTGTCAATGACTGCTTGGCTGACAATGTCGCTTCAGTGCAAGAGGCCTCCCCCCTCTCTCTACTGTCTCATTCTGGAAAGGGAGCTCCTTTGCTCCTTGTTTGCCTCTGCCCTTTTCCTTTCTCCACCCCATGCGTTTGACAAACCCCCCAAGGACATCCCAGTGCTCGGCCAGCTCGCTGAGACTCTGCTCACGGCGCCTCCATCTTATTCACAGGAAGAGCAATCCGCTATTCCCGCTTCCGCCGCTCTTCTTTTCCAATCAGATACAATATAGATTTTTGTTTTCAAATTTTAGAGTTCCAGTTTTACAAGATTCATTGGTCCTAAAGTTGGTAATTTGGTGTTTCCACCCGGCTCTATCCTTCCTTTGCTGGGGTGCGCTCTCTATGTCTTTCTCTCTTAAATCTGGATCAGATATTTTCTTAATAGTTTTACTTACCCCAATTGGGGTTTCCTTCTTGTTTCCTTTTCTTTGATGTTAAGTGGGACGAGGTGGCAGTGTATGCTGGTTTTGTCCAGCTTCCCACGGAGCTGCCCGCTGCCCACGGCTCGATCCGGACCCTCTCAGCCTCCACCCTTGAGGGGTTGGGGGCTTTTGGGGGCTTCGACAGAGCCGATCCGGCTTCGCATCTCCTCAGCACTCGATCCGGCTGAGGAGGGGAGCTACAGGCTCAACCCGGCTGCTTCAACGTGGTTCCCTTGCCGAGAGCTTCAGCAAGGCACTCCTGCCGGCATGCTGCCCACCGGAAGTCCAGAACTTTCACCCTTTTCAACCTTACCCGAGCACTTTGTGTATTTTCCCTGCTTACTTCCCTAAGCTCTTCCCTAGCACTGGCTTCCCTGCACTCTCCTCTGTTAGAGATACCACATAATCCTTCAGGTCAAGCGTTGCAGGAGGCCCAGTATTGCAAATCTGACCTCAGCCTTCCCCTCGAGAGCAGGAGTGGACGACTGGACAGGCCTCCCCTGTTAGTTCTGCGGTATGAGAGACACCAAATAACCCTTCAGGCGAGAGGCCCCAGAGCCTGAGCCTTTGACCAGCAGGAGCATTTCTGTGAGCAGAGGTGGGTCCACCCCACACAGCCCTTGAGCAGGTGCTTTGATCCCCAAACTGCAATAATAATAATAATAATAATAATAATAGTAATAGTAATAATAATAATCCTTTATTTATACCCCGCTACCATCTCCCGCAGGACTCGGTGCGGCTTACAAGAGGCCGAGCCCAAAATACATCACAAAAAAACACAACCACAACAATACAATACAACAATAAATAACTCATAGCAAAGCAAAAACAATAACAAAATATCACGACGCAATTTAAAAGCCTGGCAGGACCAAATGTAAAGATTAAAAACATTCTTAATAATGCTGGGCATGACCGGATGAAAAAGGATGTATTGTCGAAGGCTTTCATGGCTGGAATCACTAGGTTCTTGTGGGTTTCTTCGGGCTATAGGGCCATGTTCTAGAGGCATTTTCTCCTGACATTTTGCCTGCATCTATGGCAAGCATCCTCAGAGGTAGTGAGGTCTGTTGGAACTAGGACAATGGGTTTATATATCTGTGGAAGGGCTGGGGTGGGGCAAAGAGCTCTTCTCTGCTGGAGCTAGGTGTGAATGTTTCAACTGACCACCTTCATTAGCATTTGAAGGCCTGGCTGAGCCTGGGAAAATCTTTTGTTGAGGCACTGCAGACTACTTCAACCAGAGAAGTCAGCCATAGCAGAGCACCTGATGAACCAGCCTGGATGCAGAATATTATTTGAGAACACAGGAATGCTGGACCACACCAACAACCACCATGTCAGGCTACATAGAGAAGCCATTGAAATCCACAAGAAGCATGTGGACAATCTCAACAGAAAGGAAGAAACCATGAAAATGAACAAAATCTGGCTACCAGTATTAAAAAACTCTAAAATTACAACAGCAAAACAGCAGAGAGGAAACAACCAGGCACATCTTAACACCTCTCAACAAAAGATTTTCCCAGGCTCAGCCAGGCCTTCAAATGCTAATGAAGGTAGTCAGTTGAAACATTCACACCTAGCTCCAGCAGAGAAGAGCTCTTTGCCCCACCCCAGCCATTCCACAGATATATAAACCCATTGTCCTAATTCCAACAGACCTCACTACCTCTGAGGATGCTTGCCATAGATGCAGGCGAAACGTCAGGAGAGAATGCCTCTAGAACATGGCCCTATAGCTTGAAAAAGGATGGATATTTGGGGGGGCAAGTGGGTATGCAGGGTTTGCCCAACTTTGCAAAGGGCTCCTTGGGGGGGGTTTAAAATGGCTGAGATGTGTGTGTGTTATAACGCTATCCTGAGTGCATTTGGGGGCAAGACAGTCAACTCCCCCCAACCCCCCCCCCCCCCAATTCCCCAACCTAGATGTGAGTTCCAAGCTGCTCTGAACCAGCAGCGGAATTGGCACCACGAGTGCTAATTATGGGCTGCTTCCATTTGCAAAGAAGGTGAGAGACACCACAGCAGCAAAGGGAGGAGGAGGAAACACAAGAGGAGCCCAAAATACCCTTCCACACTTCGGAAGAGAGAGGCACACGTTGCCTAATATTGGAAGTGATGCACGATGGTGTTAAAACATCAGCGCTTGACTGTTTCCCTGAAGGAGTTGCCAGCTGGTCCCACGCTCCACAAGCCACGGCCGGAGCCTCTTCCCTTTGCATGCGCTACTACTGGGGGCTTCTTCCTCTCTTAAGGACATTGGGTAAACACACATAATAAAATAGTGATAGTAATAATAATAAAGTAAGATGATGATGATGATGATGATGATTATTATTATTATTATTTGCCGCAGTGGTGCAATGGGTTAAACCCTTGTGCCGCTGAACTGCTGACCTGAAGGTTGGCAGTTCAAATCTGCAAGACAGGGTGAGCTCCCGTCTGTCAGCCCTAGCTCCTGTCAACCTAGCAGTTCGAAAACATGCTAATATGAGTAGATAAATAGGTACCGCTTCTGGGTCGCTGTAGGTTTTTTCGGGCTATATGGCCATGTTCCAAAAGCATTCTCTCCTGATGTTTCGCCTGTATCTATGGCAAGCATCCTCAGAGGTAGTGAGGTCTGTTGGAACTAGGAAAAGGGGTTTATATGTCTGTGGAATGATGACCAGGGTGGGACAAAGGACTCTTATCTGCTGGAGCTAGGTGGGAATGTTTCGACTGACCACTTTGATTAGCATATAATGGCCTGACATTGCGGCCATTGGCATATAATGGCCCAACCCCATTCTGCCAAGAAGCAGGAAGATTGCCTTCAAATCACCCCTGACAGATGGCCATCCAGCCTCTGTTTAAAAGCTTCCCAAGAAGGAACCTCCACCACACTCCCTCCAGGGCAGAGAGTTCCACTGCTGAACGGTTCTCACAGTCAGGAAGTTCTTCCTCATGTTCAGATGGAATCTCCTCTCTTGTAGTTTGAAGCCATGGCTCCATTGCGTCCTAGTCTCCAGGGAAGCAGAAAGGAAGCTCCCTCCCTCCTCCTCCTCCCTGTGGCTTCCTCTCCCATATGTATACATGGCCATTATCATATCTCCTCTCATCCTTCTCTTCTTCAGGCTAAACATGCCTAGCTCCTTAAGCCGCTCCTCGTAGGGCTTGTTCTCCAGACCCTTGATCACTTGAGTCGCCCTCCTCTGGACACAGTCCAGCTTGTCAATCTCTCTCTTGAATTGTGGTGCTCAGAATTGGACACGATATTCCAGGTAAAGTGGTCTAACCAAGGCAGACAAGAACATGGGGAGCATGACTTCCCTAGATCTAGACACTCGGCTCCTATTGATGCAGGCCAACATCCCATTGGCTTTTTTTGCCGCCACATCACATTCCTGGCTCATGTTCCCCTTCTTCCTCTCCAAGAGGACCCCAAGGTCTTTTTCACACGTACTGCTCTCGAGCCAGGCTTCATCGCCCCCCATTCTGTCTCTTTGCATTTCGTTATTATTATTATTATTATTATTATTACATTAGAGGGAGGAGAACTAAAAGGGAAGTTGTCCAAGGCAAACAAAAAAGAATCCTTTCCTATGCTCCAAATCCCATGTTCACGTGGGGCGAAAGGACTGAGTGGTGGCAGAGGAAGAGGAACCGGGTAGCACGAGAACCACGCAGCATGGATGGGCTTTGTGTGCCGCGAGCCAAAGCAAAGGCACGATGATTTCCCGCATCCCACCTGGGCACCTGATTCCGAGGCGCTGACGTGCCTTGTTTGCTGACATTTGGAGGGGATTTAGTTGATTCCCTGTTTATTTGGGGAACGGCAGAGTCTTAGCACAGAGAGGAAGGCGAGGAGGAGGAGGACGAGGACGTGGTCAGCGGCTGGAATGAGCCCAGGCCCAACGGCCATAGCGATGGGCACCCTGAGGTCAGGATCTGGCCCACGGGGAGGGGGGGGGCATCCCGCTGGCCTCGGCCCCAAATGCACGGCCTCCGCATCGAGATGCGTTTCCCTCCGCAGATGGCGGGTGACTAACGGGCCCGTTTGCCAGGCAGCCGAGGCAGAGCCGGCACTGGCGGAAACCCTTCCCAACCCCAAGCGGGGGAAGCCTCCGCCTTCTCCTTGTGGGGTGGCTATGGGCACATGCAGGAAGGCAGGGAACACGCAATGAACAACGGAGTGGGATTCACCACGCAGAGGCACACGGCTGCACCACGCTCTCACATTCGGAGCTGGGGACACATTTTGTGCGTGACGTCTGCAAACTCCAGATTCAATCATCTCACAGGAATGGACTTGGGTAATATTTCTAAGCAACTGCAGAATGCATATTTGGACTTTGGCCCTCCCAAGTGTTTTGGACTCCAACTCCCACCATTCCTCACAGCCTCAGGCTCCTTCCTTCCCCCCTCCCTGTGTGTTTGTTTTGAAGGCTTGGGAGTGATCCTGGACTCATCGCTGAGCCTGGAACCCCAGGTCTTGGCGGTGGCCGGGAGAGCTTTTGCACAATTAAAACTTGTGTGCCAGCTGCGCCCGTACCTTGGGAAGTCGGACTTGGCCACGGTGGTCCACACTCTTGTTACATCCCAATTAAATTACTGCAACGCACTCTACGTGGGGTTGCCTTTGAAGACTGCTCGGAAACTCCAACTCGTCCAGCGGGAGGCAGCCAGATTACTCACCGGAGCGCCATACAGGAAGCACACCACCCCTTTGCTATGTCAGCTCCACTGGCTGCCGATCCAGTTCCGAGCACAATTCAAAGTGCTGGTTCTGACCTACAAAACCCTATACGGCTCCGGCCCAGCGTATCTGTCCGAACGGATCTCCTTCTATGTCCCACCCCGGAGTCTAAGATCCTCTGGGGAGACCCTGCTCTCGACTCCACCTCTATCACAAGTGAGATTGGTGGGGACGAGGAGCAGGGCCTTCTCGGTGGTGGCCCCTCACCTGTGGAATTCACTCCCCGGGGAAATTAGATCATTGACATCCCTCCTCTCTTTCAGAAGGAAATTAAAAACATGGTTATGGGACCAGGCTTTCGGGCAATCTGGCGGTTAAATAAGGACAATGACGACCAGAATCAATAGTACTTGGCAACGTGGAATGAATTTACGGACTCTGAGATGGCGAACGCTGAGCATTAGA